CCTTCACGTGGATGGAGGCCTTCTGCCTGAAGGCGCCTCGCACGATCATCTTCCAACGGCTGCGGACCAGGAGGGCGTCGTCCAGAGCTGGCACGGCGCCCTGCACGATGACGGTCCTCGTGCGAGGGAGGCGTCGGTCGATCACCGACGGCTTGGAGCTGGGGGCCAGGAGGCCGGCGATGAGCAGGTCGGAGGTGGCCGTGGGCTCAGGGGTCCAGCCGCAGATCTCGTCGCTCGGGCCCCCCGGCATGACCAGCTCCTCCTCCTCCATCTTCAACCTCCAGCGCTCGCGGTACCAGAAAGCCTGCATGACCTCGTAGTCGACGCAGGCCGTCTCGTGGAGGGCGTAGCCGCCGTTCCCCGCGACGGCGAAAGGCCAGTCCGCCCAGCCACGCAGCTCGCCGCCCGACGCGTCGCTGCAGTAGACTACACGCGACCAGGGGGCGGCGAGGTCCACGTCGGCCAGCAGCAGCAGACCCTTCACCACACGGAGCTCGTCCAGCAGGAGGCGGCCGAGGGGGGCCCGCTCGTCCAGGTGCTGCGCGATGAAGCGGTACCCCTCGTCCAGCGCCGCGAGCGCTGGCCGCGTGATCATGAAGTGGTTGACCAGGTGGCCGTGCACGACTCGAAGGGCACGGCCAGAGGCACGACGCACACGAAGCAGATGCTCCACGCCAAGGTACAGGCGCCAAGCGCGAGCCCCCGCGTGGCGAAGGCGGCGCGCAGCCGTGTCGAGGACGACGCCCACCGTGGTGTGCAACTTCGTGGGCTCCACCAGGTCGTGGTAGTCGATGCCTAAGTAGTCCAGGACGTGCTGGATGCCGCGCAGCGCGTGCTCGGTGTCCCGGCGGCTGAGGCCGATCACGTTGGCGTCGTCCACGTAGGGCTGGGACAGGGGACAGCCGGGCGCCAGCAAGGGCGCGGGGCACCTCTCGTGCATCAAGCGGCCCCCGCCTTCACATCCCAAGCTCAGAAGGCCCTTGCACTGGGCCTCGTCCAAGAGATCCTGGCAGAAGAAGAGCGACCACGACCAACCCATCAGCAGACCCCGAAAGACCGCGAAGATCCGAGTGTCGCTCGACACCTGGACGAAGCGGCCGTCGGCAGGGATGTGCACCAGCGGGTCGCCGAAGTCGGACGCGGCCTCGGGGCAGTTGAACCCGAACCAGTCCGCGAGGTCGTCGTTCGCGAACTGGTAGAACCCATCCTTCAGGTCCAGGCCCGCCGCGCGGACGTCGGCCGCCTGGGGATCGACGCCCTGGGGCCGCAGGGCCTGGTCGGAGAGATCGAGCCCTGCGAGGGCCCCGGCGGATCCCAAGGCGGCGTGGGGCGGCCTCCTGTGGAGCGACGAGGGCTCACGCCCGTCGAGGACGAGGCCGAGGGATCCGTCCTTCTTGCCCACGCAGAAGGCGCCGATGCGGCCGCGGATGGAGAGCCTGAACCCGACGAGGCCTGCGGAGGCGAGGCGCTTGATGAAGTCTATCCTGGCGCGGCGGTTGTTCTTCAGGATCGGGCCCCAATGCGGCGTGATGGGCTGGATCAGCTCGCTCTCCAGGAGGACGTCAAGCTCGGCCTCAGCCCTGAAGATAAGCTCGCCGGCGCGGTCAAGGTACCTGCGACCCTCGGTGCCCAGGCAGCCGCGGAGCTCCTGGGGGCGTCGGTCGCGGTGGAGCACCTTGAGAAGGCTGGGGTCGCGCGGCTTCAGGTTCATCGGCTGCCCCGAGTACAAGTCGTGACTCTTGATGAGGTCGGCGTAGGCGGTGGCGGGCAGGATGTCGGGTCGTTCCCCGTAGCTCTCGATGCGCCGGCTGACGCGCGAGATGATCGAGCGCCGCGCCTCCGTGAGGCGACAGCCCGAAGAAGGCTGGTGCGCCCGAAGGGCGCGCGATGGGGCGTCGAGGGCGTTCAGAGACCAGATCGCCTCGCGCGCGCGTCGCACTCGCGACCGCGAAGCAGGCCCAGCATGGCCGCCGCGCGCGAGCACCTCCCCAGACAGCGGGAGGGGAAGGGGTCTCCGTGACTGTGACCCTGGATGGTGCGGTAGTCCTCGGCGGGGTCAGGTCGAGGGCCATCTCCCGCATCATCGGGCCGCCAAGCTCGTCTGTGCCGTAGCTCACGTCGGGGCCTCCACCGACCAAGGGGACGTCCACGAGGAGCGTCAGCACAGAGATGGCGACGAGGGGGGCGCCCGGGCAGCAGGCGCTGTCGAAGCAGGCGTCGCCAGAGGACCTGCCCCGTTGACCCGGGCGCCCAGGGGCCGAGGGCCCCTACTCGGCAGAGGGGTTGGGGCCCTTGCCGCCGTCGCGGCCTGGCCCCTTGCCGTCCTGGCCCTCGTGCTTGGCGCGGTCGATGCCGTGCTCTTCGCTCCGGAGCCGCCCCTGCTTCATGATCTGAGCCTCGTCGCGGCGGAGCGAGGAGACCCACTTGGAGAAGGTCGGCAGCTGCATCCGCCCGTCCTCGGCCATGGGAGCCGCGAAGATGCCGTCCAAGTTCGTGAAGTCTGGCACCTTCGGGTTCCTCCTGACCGCCGACTCCACCTCGTAGAGCCAGCGGGCGAGGTGCTCGATGACCGCGCAGTTGGCGAAGTCGAGTTGGTCGTAGCAGATGGCCTGGTCGAGGCCTTCGCAGATGCGGCGGTGCGTCCGGCACGCCCCCGACGTAGCACTGACCCCCGACTTCGTTCTCCAGTGCAGGTGGTGGGTGATGAACACGATCCCCGCCGCGACGAGCGCCATGACAAGCTCCGGGGCGCAGGCGTCGCCGCGGAAGGGCCAGCCAGGCCGAAGGGCCTTGCTGCTGGCCCTCGCCGCGGCGGTGAGAGAGAGCACGGGCACCCCGTTCACGCGCTCGTCGCCGAGGGTCCGCCTGTCGCGGCCCGCGCCCGTCGACTTGAGCAACCTCCAGTTCTCCAGGTCCTCGTCCAGCACCCTCTCCACGGCGAGCCAGTCCTCGTCCACACAGGCGAAGCCGCGGTCGCCTCGGATGATGAGGCTGTCGGCATCGGCAAGGGCCGCGGCGGGGAGCGCGTCGCCGAAGCCCGGGTGCGCGGGGTCGGCGATCAGCCAGCGCCCACCCTCGGGCTGCGCTTCCGCGCCCCCCGTGAGCCCGTAGACGGCCAGCAGCTCCTTGGCCTCTCGGCGGACCTGCTGGAGCTCCTCGGGGGTCAACGGGTCGAAGGCGTAGACCTCGCCTCTGACCCGCCGCGGGAACTCCGAGTCCCGCGTGAGGGGGATCACCCCGTGGGTGGTGACGTCGATGAACTGAATGCTCAGGTCTGGCGTCGGACATATCCACTGCCCAGGGTTGGGCGTGGCCAGGACGAACCATCGCATATGCCATCGAAACCCGTTGGGGTCGTCGAAGAAATCAACTAAGATCTGCCGCTCTGGAACGTCAAGCGTGCGGGCCATGCCGCCCCCTCAAGGTCGATGGTGTCGCCTCTGAGGGACCGCCTGGGACGGCGGCGGCAGCGGGCAGCTCGTCCGCCAGGGCGGGGGCGTCAGGCGTCGCCCGAGGGGCGACCAGGGCCCGGGCGGTTGCCACCGCCGCTCGCCAGGCTGCACAGGCCAGCACGCTCAGGAGCACGCCGACGATGAGGCCCAGCAGGAAGATCCACCAGCCTCCTGACCCGCCCGCGCAGGGCGCTGGCTCCGGGCACGGCCCGGTGGGCGGCGCCTGGGGGCCCCGCGGAGCGGCTGGCGCCTCCTGGGGCGCGGCCGCTGAGAAGGCCCCCGTGGGGCAAGCCGGGCACGGCGGCGCGGCTGGGCACGCGACGTGCGCGCAGGAGAGGCTGCAGCTCGGGCAGGGCGGGCAGCTCGGCGTCGCAGGGCAGCGCCCGAGGTAGCCGAGGGCGAGGCTGGCGCCGCGGTCAGCCAACCATGGCCACATGGAAGGTGTGAGCGCGGCCCTCTGAAACTACAGAGCCAAAAAGGATTATGGAAACGACATCCTGTCGAACGGTCGCCCTCGAGAACACAGCAAGAGATGTCAGGGACAGAACCTATATATATATATATATATATATATATATATATAACATGCTCGGTTTGTGCCTCTCCGATATCAAATATTACTGCAACTTCCCACACGCCAATCCAAAACAAACACATGATCGATGCATGGTGTGTTACCCTTGAGGTTCGCCGTCAACATTTTTGATATCAATTCAAGTGTCTGGGGTTCTACAGACTTAGAGACAATTCTCCTTACGGCACAACAACACCCCAAGAACAACCGAAAAACAAACGGAACCTTCCGCACCCGACCCCGTCCGCCTCCCCGGACATGTGGTCCAACCCCCCCCCCATAAAATCCTAAACGGGCTCGCGCTGGGAGGGGAGGACCCTGGGTGGATCCACTCCTTCAATTCGAATTTTATTAAAGAGAGTGAGTGGAGCCTGGTTTTGGCGATTCTGCTTGGAACGTCTCAAAATCTGCCTGATTTGGGCCTTGGTTCGGCGTGGTTTGGCCTGGTTTGGCGCGGTTGGCCGCCGCAAAAACCGCCTGAGACATTCTCCGGATTTGCTTGGTTTGGCCCCTGGTTTGGGCCCGGTTTCGCCTGCGACGTCCTCAAAATTTCCCTGGTTTGACCTGGTTTGGGCTTGATTTTGCCTGCGGAGGCCTCAGAATTTGCTTGGTTTGGCTTGGTTTGGGCCCGGTTTCGCTTGAGACGTCCTCAGAATTTGCCTGGCTTGGCCTGGTTTGGGCCCGGTTTCGCCTGAGACGCCCTCAAAATTTGCTTAGTTTGGCATGGTTTGGGCCTGGTCTTGTTTGAAACGTCCTCGCCATTTGCCTGGGTTGGGCCCGGTTTCGCCTGAGACGTCCTCGCCATTTGCCTGGGTTGGGCCCGGTTTCGCTTGAGACATCCTCACAAATTGCCTGGTTTGGCCTGGTTTAGGCCCGGTTTCGCCTGAGACGTCCTCGCAAATTGCGTAGTTTGGTATGGTTGGGGTCCTTCTTCGCCTGAGACGTCCTTGCAATGTGCAAGGTTTGACCCTGGTTTCCGCGAAGCTCTTGCAACGCCCCTGGTTCGACTTGGCACGCTGCGCGCGTAGCAAGAGAAATAACAGCAAATGCCCCGTTTCGGGCGCGGGCATGCCCCGACTACATCTTACACGTTCACATGACCCTCCTCGTCCTCCTCCTCCTCCTCCTCCGCCCCTACTCTCCTCTACGTTCGCAATGTTTTTTCAACAGTGTACTGAACACACATACTGGCCCAAATTCCGCACTGTTGTGCTACAGTATAACCGGGGTAGTGGGTGTGGCCATCCGAAGCGCAGTGCGTTCGGCCAGCCACTGCACCACATCTTGCAACCATCGCTCACACAAATCACCCTGTCATGGGGCATTGGACCATGTGGCGGCGTGAAGAAAATCTTTTCCAGCCTGTAGTGACAGCGGTTAACCCTACGAAACTCTTACACGGTACAGGACACAGACAAACGGGAAAGAGGAAACGACAATGATGAGTGGAACGCGGCCTAAGAAAACGGAAAAAGAAGGATGAGAGGATAACGGGATAGATGTGGGAATGCCTCATGCCCCTGCATGTCAACGAGGTCGCCGCCGTGAAGCTGGAAATGCAACCAGGCAACATCCGGCAGCGTGGCGGAAAGTTTCCGTCATATTGCCGTTGAGCTGATTGAGGGAGCCATCCAGCGCGGCGCGCTGTGCTCTACCATGTCTTCTGCGACGGTGGCGCCAAAGTACTCGGCGACGTCAGCGTCGGCCACGGCTGCTGCGTTCGGCCGCGGTTCTCTTGCCCGTTGTGCTCTCTTCAAGGATCTCTCGAGCTTGCACAACACGAGGGAATCGTGCGATGAAAAGGCGGATCGCCTACGGATCTCCACGCCCAGCAAGCGCGGCAGACGAGACTGGGGCAGAGCAGGAGATCGATCTGCCCAAAATGCCGCGGTAGCAAATCACCTGGCGGTCGAGGTCGTGCTCGAAACGCGTGTTTGCGATGGTGAGCCCGTGGCTGACACACAATTCCAGCAAGAAGCTCCGGTTGGAATCTGCATTGAAATGCGCCGTGAGATTCGCCAAGGAATTGCCTGTGCATCCTCACGTTGACGTCCCCCAGCAAATAAGCCTGGCTGTGCCCTGGAGTTCGAGATAATATCGCACCCGATTATGGACAGAACTCTATGCGGTCCTCTGGCGGTTTTCCGCTGCGAGATGCGTACGCACTGAAGACTGGAATCCTCCTTCCCCGGACGCGGATTCTCGGATGAGCAACCCGTGACGATATCATGTTGATGCCTAGGAGACTCTTGCGGGCTTGAGGAGACACCAAGCAGCCAACTCCAGCTGTCTCCTCGTCGTCCAGATTCCTGGACAACACCACCAATGAACCACGTGCAGTGTCATAGCATCTTGATTCGTATTGGGTCTCCAGTGTTGCGAGCACGTCGACGTCCAGCGCCTGCATGTGGATCTGCAGTTCCTCCAGCTTCGCATCCGTCAGGCCCTCGACGTTGCACGGCCCAAAGACCATAGTCACCCCTGTGGGTTGCAGCTGGCCTCCTCGCAAGTCAGGGTGCGGCGGCCCACCTCGAAAGCCAGGGTCGCCACAGCCAGTGCGGGTTCTAGGCGTGCGCGGGTATGTACGCGCAGCCTGGATTTGTGGCGGCAGTTGTGCCGACTGCGGGTGGTGGAGAGACTACGCCGGGGCCCATTTCCTATTCCCCTGGGCTCCCAGGGGCACCTTCTGCCTTGCCTTTCCTTTCCCCTTGGCGCCGCCCTTGGCCGTGCCCATCGCGCCTTCCATTCCCGAGGCGGCGCGGGACACCAGGTTGTCGGCCCTCTTCCTCAACTCTTTGACGCCTGGATGGTCGTGTGACTCCTTCCATGCTTCCCACTCCCTGTGCCAATCAAATGTTTCAATGCAGTCGTGTCTGCGTGCACCGTGACCGCCTCCTCCCCACCAACAGTGACACAGTGTGGAGAGTCCTCTGTGATGCTCCGCTTGCGCCGGGCCCCGCTGCGTGCGCCTCGACTCGGTGGCGCACGAGGTCGCCGGCCCCAGGTCGCCTCAGCCTGCCCGACGCAGCTGGCGCACGCGAGCGCCGGACCCACCTGCGCTGCGGCGCTGCTCTCTTCCTCGGCCACGGTACCCTCTTCTGAGGAGAGTGATGGCGTCCACGGCAGGAGTCCTGGGGACGAGGAGGATGAGAAAGGGAAGGACAGGAGGAGGATGGAAGGAGAATGAGGAATTCGCTTGAATTCGCTGATATCCACGGGGTGGCAAGGAAGGAGAATGAGGAGAGTGAGGAGGAGGAGGAGGAGGAGGAGAAGGAGGGGGAGGAGGAGGAGGAGGAGGAGAGGAGGAGGGAGGAGGAGGAGGAGGAGGAGGAGGAGAATGAGGAGGAGGAGGAGGAGGAGGAGGACGACGACGACCGAGATCGGTTCAAAGCCGTCCCTGGGCTCTCTCCAAGGGTCAAGGGTGCATCCCGTGTGCTTCCTGGGCCGCGCGCGGCCACGACGACGACGCCCCCCCCCCCCCCCAGCAGGCCCAGAAGAGCACGAGCAAGAGGGCTCCACGCTCTGGTGGGCCTTCGGAGGAGGTCTTCCCTGGAGGTCTCCCGGGGTGCCCAGCCAGGAGGCTCCTGGAGGCCTCTGAACGTCTCTGGAGACCTACACCTGTGGTCCAACAGGTTTAAAACCAGTTAGGAAGGAGGAGGAGGAGGAGGAGGAGGAGGAGGAGGAACAGGAAGAAACCTTAGGTCGGGCATGTCCCCCTACAGGGAGGGGGATTTTGGACAAAAAATAAAAAAAGAGTCCAAAACTGCTCCCAAATGGTCGAAAATAGTCAAAAAAGCGTCCCCACATTACTTTTCAAACTATTTTTGAGTTTTCCCCCTGTAGGGGGACAGGCCCGACTTAAAAGAAACCCCGCACACCCGCGGCGATGGCTGGCGCGGGGCCGCCGTCCGGAAGCCGACGCAGTTGTAGATCCACGGGCAGTGGTGGTCCATCTTCAGGATGCACACGCGGCACACGCGGCAATGGTGGCAACGGTCCTGAGACTGGAGGAGGAGGAGGAGGAGGAGGAGGAGGAGGAGGAGGAGGAGGAGGAGGAGGAGGAGGAGGAGGGGTGGCGGGGGCACCGCGGGAGCCTCCGGCAGGAAGAGGGGGGGGACAGGCAGGAGCAGGGGAGGAGAGGGGGACGGGAGCAGCGAGCGTGGGGGGCAGGGCAGGGAGGCGGGGACCGGGAAAGAGGGGAAGGAGGCAGATCGTGGGAAACATGAGTGTTCCGAGCTACCCGCTCTACCCGTCTTCCCGCGCCTATCCTGCCTGTACTGCAGCTCGTAGCAGGTCAAGGCGGAGAGGACGGTTCGCTACCCACGAGTAGGCAGATAGAACCAAGCCCGAAGGCTTGCAGAAGGGCCAGCGAACTCGAGCGCAATCGGAGCTCTGGATTTCTGAACACCGATAGCGACAAGACGATAAACATGATATAGTGATAGTGAGACTACACAACCGATTCAGCTACCCTCGAACCCAAGGCGAGCGTCGATGTGCTCTGGCAGCAGTCCTTGTAACGCAGTCATGGCGAAGTGATGCAAGCGGATGCATGAGCACACGTCATGTGAGATGACGTCCATTTCCCCTTGGCATCCGAAAATGCAGGAGACCTCGCGTTGCAGTCGGACGTTCGTGATCCTTCCTCCAAGCCATGTGCGCAAAACGACGAAGGACCAAGCCACGGGGGCGTTGCCCAAGGATGACGGGCCATCGCTCAGGACGGACATGGACCCCGACGTGCCGCTGCAGCCCCTGTGCCGAGAGCCCTGGAGGCCGGCTGGGAAGAAGAACGTGCCTGAAGTGTGGTCAGTCTGGCCCTGCCGGCTGGACTTCCGCCGCTGCATTGCCTCACGCGCCAGGTCCCGAGACGGGAGGCGGGCCGCACGGCCACCTGTGCACAGCCGCTCGTGTCCCCGAAGAGCCCGAGGGAGGCCTGCTCGAGGCTCGCAGCCGAGGGGCACGGGAACCAGAACGGCGGGGCAGACCAGCCCCGAGCACCACCGGCCCAGCGGGCCAAGCGCGGGCGGAAGGGGCGAAGCGAGGTGAGCTGGGCGCGCTCGGGCGAGAGCGCGGACGGGGTCCACCCCTCGCCCTGAGTCAGAACCAGTCAGACCATCGAGACACTTTTCTGATCCGCGGGTCGAGAGCGCACCTGTTCCGGTCGAAGCTGAGCGGGCCGCGCGAAGCTTGGATTGACAAAGAGGCCATCGAAACACGGATGGGGCAGAACAGAGGGAGGCGATGCGGGAAGGCTCGAGGCGGGTGAAGGGCCAGGGGGGAGGGCCGAGTTGGGCACGAAAGGACATCTGGGAGGGCTCTGTCGCTGTATTGAGCTGCTCGCAATTTGAATCGGCCCCCTTGGTGCGCCGTCGCGCGGGCACGGTCCGGGAGCTTCGTCAAAGGCCCTCGCCATTGCTGTTCAAGCGAAGCGTCGGGCTCGACCCCAAGTAAACGCCAGAACCCACGACTCGGAACACGTCGCAGGAAGAGCCAGCAGTGGCCAGAGCCGACAGGGCTTCGGCCTGAATGGTCATAACCCTGGGGGCCCAGAACACTTGAAGGTCCCAGGCAGGGTGACGCACGATTGCGGGCAACGCTGAAGATACAGCCATGCTTTCATATCATCTTTCAAATTCCAGCACTGCGCCGATGTCATCCGCGTAGGCGCGTGCATCGCCGTGCCTTGGCAGCACGACTGTCTTCTCGATGTCCAGCAGTAGAAGGTTGAACGCGGGGACGTCGGCCGAGCACGAAAAAGGGACAGCGCTGCCGCACGCCGCCCTGTGTCCAGAAGGGGAACTCCTGCTCGGGGCCTCCCTGGCGAGACACGATGCACTCAAGACCGCCAGCCTAGCGCCCTGCGGGATCGGCGCCGTGTCGGCGCACTGCTCGAGCCAGGACCAGTTGACTGACGGGAGCGCCTGCGCGAGGTCATACAGCTGAAGGGGCCCTGGAACACACAAAAAACTACAGACAAATAAAAGGATTCCCCGTATTCTCCTATATTTTCTCGGTTTTCGTCTTCCCCCCCACTTCCCATCTTTTCCCATATTTTCGGTGGAATCGACGATTCCTTGTGTCTCTGTATGCTTTTCCCCTCCTGAACAGCTGCGGACTCGTCGTGACCTGGCAGCCGGGGGGCCACGGCCCGACCGCTGGCCCTGCGGGCGGCCACACGTCCGGGCCCGCCGCGCTGCCGACCGGGCTCGCGCCCGGCGGTGCAGCCGTGCCGGGTGCGGGCTCCGAGCGCCTCCCCTGCGGGTGCGTGGGCGTCTCGGAGCACGGCCGCCGCCGTCCTGCTGCTCGTGCCCCTGCGCGACGGCGGCCGCGTGGAGGCAGCACCGGGAGCTCCTCGGCATCGCCGGCAGCTTGCGCAGGCCTGGGCCAGACTGCTGCCAGCGGCACGTCGCATCCCATCGGCATGCAGAACCCTTGGCATAGAAAGCCGGGGCAAAGATGAGGCATCTCTGCGCCCCGCCCACACCGCCAAGTCGCATCGTGCAGACCGTCAGGTCCAGGAGCAGAGTTGCGAACCCGATCCAGGCAGTGCTTGAAATTACCGATGGTGGGCAGAGCGAGGCCCTGCAGTTGGCCCTTCACGCCGAACCTGTTCGGAGATTCCCATGACCCAGAGACCTCGACGGGGAGCTTCTAGAATATCGGGGCCCAGTTCGCTTGCAGCTCTTGCGCGATCCCCTTCGGCGACGATCTGATGGATCGGTGATCTCGATGCCCGCGAGCTGCTTCTTCCGCGCGAGCGGTTCCCACGAGAGCGCAAGAGGACGGTGCGACCGCTTCTGTCGTACCAGGCTTTGACGACGACCTCTCGGCAGACTCTCCACGAGGTGCTCGAGCGGAAGAGGGGAGGAGGAGGAGGAGGAGGAGGAGGAGGAGCGCACGTAGCTGGGAAGACAGTGCCACAGCTACTGCACAGCACTAGCCTCGCATAGCGGCTAATGCAGCAGATCGTATCTGGTAATGGTACGAAAGCGTGGCAGCCTGCGGCCGCCGCGCAAGGTCCGCTTTCAGTTTATGGTAAATGCGAAAGCTTAGGACTACGATTCGGTGGCATCGTAAACGTGGATATTCGATCTCGCGATCGGGGTTGGGGCCGAGCCCAAGACGAGTGAGAGGACAAGAAGGGAGGACTCCACAAGGAAGGGCGAGGAGGTGGAGGAGGCGGGGGCACTGGAGATAATGGGCGAACGAATCGGGGGCACGGCACCCGAAAAGACATGAGGCCTCGGGCGCACTCGGAACGCGGGCCCAAGTCGTCCAAGCTCCGGCCAGCGTCTTCAGGTGGGCCCATGCCCACGAAGGGGGGGATCGGGCAAGAATCGCCTTTAAACCACCCCACCGAGCCTCAGGATCAGCCGGCAGCAGCGGCTGGAGGTCGGGGAGCCACGAGGAAATACGACGATGCAGCAAGGTGGGGAGGGAATCGGGGAAGAGCGAAGCCTCGAAGGAGGAGGAGAGGATTCGCTGCGGTCGCGGGCGGCGCTCCTCGGTGGCGGCCGCCGTCAACTCCGCCCTCGCCGCCGCTGCCGCTGGGGCCCAGGCCTCAGGCCTGATGCCAGGTGGCCCTGAGCGGAGTACCATCTCCAGGAACTCGGCGATCGAGCTCCGACGCTCCCAAATCTCAGTCGCGAGAGCCCCCGAAGCCCGGCTGCCGAAAGAGCCGTGCATCTCGGCGTGGCCGCGGAGCAACTCAAGGCTCTCCCCCCGCCCGCCCACCCCGTCCCGCCGAAGAGTGTGAGCCGCCGTCCGCCAGGCTGAACTGCCGGCCAGGACTCGGAGCGAGCGAGGGACCGCCGATCGCAGCCAGGACCTGATCCCCAGGAGCTCAGCCAGGCCAAAAGAATTGGGAGGGAGGCGGAGGAGACGGTGAAGGACGTGACGCTCGGAGCTGAGGAGCGAGGGAGGGGGAGGGAAAAGCTGGCACACATAGCTGAGCACTGAGAGAATCCCGAAATTATAAATCCTGCAGCTGGCCTCAGCGGGCGCCCGGCTCAGGGCCACCTCTGCCGTTCTAGCTGTCCATTTGGCCGCTGGGCTCAGCCATTGGGATGAGAGCGTGGCGGCGGGACCGAATTGGAAGCCTAAGAATTCGGTGGCGCCTTTAACGTGGAAGTCTCCCCATTCTGGCACAAGGGTGAGAAGAGACGAACGAACTCGCTCGACGACTTCGGGGCAACATCTCTCAGCCAGCGGAACAAGGCAGCATTTGGAGGGCTGCAAGACCAGGCATGCGAGACGGCGGGCGGCGACGAACGCGGGCCTGAGGAGAGGGAGGAGGCGAACCGAAGGGAGGGTGGCGCCCACGTCGTCAGCCGTCGCTCCGCACTCAGGTTCTAGCCCAGGGCACCACCGTTCGGGGGCGGCGCACATACTTCGGGCCATCGCAGAGCCCAGAGAGGAAGCCATGTCCCGCATAAAGGGGTCCATGCAGAGGGCCCAGATGGTCCCGGAGAGCGGGCAGCCCTGGGCAACACCTGAGGTCACTAGGAAGAGGGGGACCCTGGCCGCTCCACAGCGGGAGTGGGCGAGAGCCCCAGAATACAACGACCGAACAACGTCCAGGTACCCCTGCGGGAGGCGATGGCGAGCAAGCACGCGATGAAGAAAGAGCTGGGAGAGCGAGGGGAAGGCAGCACGGAGGTCGAAGGAGACGAAGAGAGGGAGAAAGGATGGATGGTGGCTGCATGCACGCGCCCGCGCATCCTGACGCACCACGTGCATCAGGAAGTTGCGGCCACGAACGAACCCAAGCTGGCTAGCATGGGCGCGCGAGGCGGTCAGAGGCGCCATCATCTGGTTCGCGGCAGCCGCGATAGCTTTCGCGTCGCAGCTCTTCAGGCTGAGCGGCCGCACCTTCTCTGCCGCCCGGATCGTCTCCATCGAGTCGTCCATCTCCGCGCCCTTCGGGATGAAGGCCATGTCCGAGAAATTGAAACCCCATGGCGCGGGGGCGCCACGGAAAAGGCCAAGCATGAGG